CCAAAAAACCAACATGGATTACAAGAAAAGAAAACAAACATTTCGATCATGGATTACAAAAAAATCTATTATGGGTTACAAAAAACCAAAAAATTCGATCATGGGAGACTTACCAACTATCATCTTTGCATATCTAATTTTTCACTACATTTTTTTAACCAAATCCCAAGATCCCTATTTTTTGACTAATTTTTTCCTCCGACCTTTTAAAATAAAACCAATTTATTACCAAAATTTTGATATGCCGATATTTTATTATTCCTTGGCTCGCTAACTATGGTACGCACCCAATTATTTCATGCCAACAATGGACATTGGTTATGCTGATAATAATGCTCCTTTAGATCGTGTTTGTGGCTCGTTGACACAAAAGAAAAACAAAATATAAAAACAAGAACATCACACAGGCCAACCTTGAGAAATTCATGCTTTATAGGTCATGACTTTCCTAAAAAAAATAAAACCACTTCTAACTTTCGACCAAGTTCAGGCACAGTTAAGATTCATTGACGATATCGGAATGGATTCACTAATCAAATTCCCTTTAAATATCACTCCTACCTCAATAGTACAACTAGCTGCCCTGTCCATTCATTAATCGAACCAAGATGGCCCATGATCGACCAAAGAACTTCATATTTTACATGTCAATAAGAACTTTCAATGTGTCAGATCCTTCGAATTTCATAGTTCACAATATATTCACCAAACAAAATATATCCAATGGGGGAGGGGGAGCATTCATGCTATGCGAATTTGATGTATAGCTTTGGGTCTAAAACTTGAAATCCTTCTTCTTTGCCTTCCTTTCCTTTTTCCCACATCTTGCGCTTCCTCTTTTTCTTAGCCTGCACAGAGTTCAAAAAAATTTAAAAAAAGAAAAGAAAAGTGAAAACCCATAGAACAACACTAACAAAAATTTAAAAAAAAGAAAAGAAAAGTGAAAACCCATAGAACAACATGACAAAAATTCCAGCCCACTCTAGATTGCACCCAGAACAAACCTTTGCCACCATGTCACTGAAGTTCTTCGCGTTGATTTCATTGCTTCTTTTCTTCCCTTGCTTCCTCATAAATGAACCATGTCACCCAATAATGAATAACTACGTATAAAACTTTGTATGCATGCATCAAACAACACATCAAGAATCTGGACTCCCATTATAAAAAAAAATACCTTACTTTGCTGCGAAAGTAACATCATCCAAAGCCTTTAATTCATTTTGTCCTAATAGTAGCTCAACCTGGGTAAGGATCATCTGGAATCAGTATGACAAAATGAAGAGAATACTTGAAAAGAGGTTGAAAGAATTTCATATATAAAACTAGCCAACAAATCATTAAGTGCTTGCAGAGCAACGCTAACATACAGAAGAATAAATCTGTTTACCCTTTTAGCACCAGGTTTATCCATTGCCCCAAGCATATACCTGTCCAAGGAAAAAAGTTCTCAAATGCTAATCAAGAGTTTCCCTACGATAAACCTCTCTCTCAAAAAGGAAAAAAAAAAAAACTCACACAATGAGAAATAAGAAAATGCACAAAAGAAGTCCTAAAATTCATGAAAAGGATAGTCAGATAAGCAGCTAGTTAAGGTGTAGACGTACATGTGCGTTGTTCCGAGTAAGGTTCCTGGTGCAATCCTTTCTTCCTTCTCTTCGAGTACCTTATTTGGAACAAGAGAAATAGAGTGTTGGACTCCACAAGAATAAAATGATAATCAAAAGATAACTAATAATGTAGCTCATTGGAAGATGGTGCCAAAAATCTTTCGATGCAATTACTTGGTAAAGAGGCTTCCCTGGCTCTTTCTTTCATTGCCTTCGAAGATCAATGACACTAGGTACCTTCACAGCAGTTGGTGTACTGCAGGGAACTTAAAAAACTCAATTTATTAATCAGCAGTAAGAGAGAGAGAGAGAGAGAGAGAGAGAGAGAGAGAGAGGGGCTGGCAATAATTGAATACTGGCCTCCAATTCCTCTTCTTCGATATGTTCCTCCTCTTCTTCCTCCTCTTCCTCCAAGTCATCCCAATGCTTACTGATATCAACAAGTTCCTCCTGCAATCAAAGGAAAATGCATAATGAGACAACAATGATATCGCCATCATTAAGAAAACTAAGAAAACCATAGTAACATGGAAAGTCATTTTCCAACAAAGGAAGATATAATTTCCCACGCATGAAGTTTATTATAATAACATAAAGGATTTATTCTATTAATTCAACAAACCAATGAAAATGGATAGGAAAAGCTTTATGTGTGACCCAAACAACATAGAGGTTATACGTGACCCCACTTCTTAGCTGTTTGATTCAAAATTGATGGCTACGATTGTTCATGCCACAATGACATGCCAAACGCTGCTTTACTTTTCATTTTTTTATACAAAATATTTTTGGATGAAATTTTGAGCATCCCATCATAAACTAGGGAGAACCTAAATAAAATAGAAAGCCACCTACTCATATCTGATGGCTGAGATCAGGGGTCACATATATTATATATGTGGGTGGGGTTACATAGAAGGCTTTTCCAAATGCATATCTCCATACCTCATAATTAGGTCGTTCTTGTTGTTGGACACCAAAAACGTCACCATACGTCACCATATAGTGGGCGTCCGAACTACATAATAAAAATTTCACAGAAGCAGTCACAAAAGAATAAACAATCGCACAGAAGAAGAATCCATACAAATATTATAAACACTACAACTTGGATGCAAGAATCATAGGAAGC